TTCTGTTCTTACATATTTATCTATTTTAGGAGGCGCTACTTCACGGTACCCACTTTGAATTTATGTTTTAATGCCATTTGAGGGAGATTTTTTTTTCTCCCCCCCCCCAGTTCTTGGAAGTGCATACTGTGGTGGAAAATTAAGGTGCATCTCGAAGGAAAACATAATAGAATCGATGAACGTGCTGCACTTAAAACTACTGATGTTCTGATGCTATTTAAGGTTCTAGTGCATTAACGTTTCAAGTCATTACAACATTCAGGCTGGGTGATTTGATCATGGCAGGTTTTTAACTGGAAGAATTACAGAAGTTTTCAGCCTAGGATTCTCAAGTTATTAGATACAAATGATCACCTCTGCATTAAGTATAGATTTTCTTCCACTGCGCACTTAAGAATGGAAGTTTGTCTTTAAGAGGGTAATAGCAAATTAAGCTCCATACTCCATTTGTCCAGCACTCATGATGGGCTAATTTTATAACTGCTGATTTGGTCATTCCCCACATTTAGCTGGAAAGTGGTCAGGTGGTCTTTCTCCTCACTGCTGGGTGTGGACATTAAGAAGCAATGGGCAAATGGAATCCATTTATTAAATTTTTTTATAACGAACCTTTTTCTTAAAGAAGGTCTAGACTCTTGTTTGTAATGTTAAAAGCATCACTTTCATGTCCGCCTTGCTTTCTTCCCCTCCTATTATCTCGCAGAGGAAATTAAACACTTTTCCCTCCACTCTTCCTAGGTTACTACCGCTGTAAACTTTCTGCAGAACCTGAAAGTACGTCAAAGTCCATTGGCCACCAGGAAGGCATTTCTGAAGAAAAAAGGTAAGAGAAATTTAATTTGCCCTTAAAAGACATCAAGGGTATTCAATTAAAATTCAAAGAGGCTGAAAAAAAAAAACATCCTTCGTGCAAAGGTCCAAAACTTCTTAGGGCCCAATAGTAATGATGCACTGTGGTGTGTATGTTCTAATTTGTCGTAGCGTGCCGTCAACAAGTCACTAAAATATAACAAATAAGAAATGTTTGTCACTAAAAGTAAAGTTAATTAAATAAATTAAATTAATGTATGCACACCTAAACATATATTTTAAACAAAGCTGTTACAAGAATGTAACATACAGGAGGTGCCATGGACACTGATGTAATGGTATAGTACATTTCAATGAGGTAAATATGCTGGTACAGCGTTAATATTCTACATAATATGATGGTTTTACCAGTACATACAATACCTTTAAGACTCAATCACGCTCATTTTGCTAACCTTTATTTTCCTCCCTACCATCTCTATTACTGTTGAATATGTCATGAATTGAACTTTTATTTACTTTATTTACTATTTATTTATTGTACTCCCACCTACTCGGTCTATTTTGCTGGGAAATGTTTCCAATAAGAAACATCCTAGAAACTTACAAAATAAAGAAAAATCGGTTTAGTATTCTTGAACACAACAAAACATGCCTACTAAAACTGACTATGTAAATATTGTTATTGATTTTTTTTTTTTTACTCTTGAATAAAAGTCTGTCAACACTAAAAATATAAATGCTTAAATGAATTCACTCTTGTGATTGGCTGAATGTCTTCACACGGTGATTTACAGTGCATTTAAATAGTCTGTTTTTTTCTTTCCCCCATGACTCCAGTGCAATTAAAACTGGAAAGCCTTTGCATTTTAAAATGTTTCGTCTTAATATGGAAATCATTTTTAGACTGGTATTTATTGCAGTCTGCAGTCTGGATAATGTAAATGCATATCTTTAAATCTTAAAAAAAAACAACAGTTTATTTTTCTTTTGGGGATAAGATTAGTCTGTGAGGGTCAAAGGTTGTGGCCATAGCTCTATGCCCTGGAGGCTCCAACAGGGGTCGATTGGCCTTCAAAGTGCATGATTCAAGCCCTGTGAATAAATGACACACCAGTTGGGATGCTCCTTTGGGTTCAGGAAAATTAATATTGACAAACTCTCTCTGCATTTTCAATGGAATTATCAATATTGCCTTCCAGCATTTTAACCCTTTTACTTAATTTAACAGTTACCGTAAATTTGAGGCCTGACACAGGATGTTGTTTCTAAGCAGGGATGGTGGGGGGATGTTTGCTGGCTCTTCAATTTCTCTGCAATTCATTGAAATAATTTCTGACACATGGTAGAATAGTGTTTGTGTAATAAAACTTGCAAATAGCTTTATTGCCCAGAACTCATTCAGGTCTGTTCGATAAAATGCATTGGGTGGAAATGTGCAGCGTTGTGTCTCAGAGAGGGACTGAGCAGTGCAGTGTTTTCAGAGAATCAGTGGCTTTACTTTAAATAAACTCTCTGTGGTGAGTATTTCTATTTGACTTATTCAGTCCTTTAGGGACCGTACCTCTGCAGTACTGGGGGACTGGGCTGCCAGCATTAGTGTAGCCAAACAGTGAAAAGTGAGCCTAAAAGCTCAATGACTGGGAAAGGTAACCTGAAACCAAATCCATGGTTGCCGGCTGCTGCTGCACACATCTCATCTGGCCCTAATGACTCTTGGTATCTTTTGAAATTTCTTTTGTCTCTGTGTCTCACTTATTGACAACTCAGACATGTTCATTATCCACAGTATCTAAAGGCTATAGCAAATGTAATAAGGCCTCATCAATACAGAATGATGTCATGCTACACCTCATTTTCCTCTCACTTGAAGCTTTCTTGTAAACTTCACAGGGCCCTGCTTTCCAAAATGGTCTGCTCTTACTGCACTTTAAGTCTATGAAATATGTATGACGCGTTGATGCACGTGTATTTTGGAAAATACGTTCCGCTGTACATCTACACAGGAACCTTGGATTTGCATAAGAACATTGATCTCAGGAAGAGAGAGGGTGAAGATGATAAAAAACAAAGTAGTGTAACACTAAGTATAAAGTGTTTCTATGGAGAACTTAAATCTACGGTGCACATATACATACGTTGACTTTGGAACTGTGTGCGTTCTATGCCTAGTATTACAGTATCATAGACATACACAGTTAAAGTTCCGAAATATGAATCAGATAAAAATAAATTAAAGTGTATGAAACCTAACAGTAGCATAGACAACACAGCATTTCAGGATACAGTTTGTTTGTAACAACTCAGAGGCTGCCACAGGGGAGGCACAATTATGTAAGGGTTCCTTTGGGGCTCCAATTCAGGACCTTTTGCAACTAAAGCAGATGTGTAAGGCAGGCGTGATAACCAATACACTACAGAACCACAAGAAAACACCTACATTTAGACCTTTGTAGGGTTCAAGAAGTTTATGAAGTAGTGGTGAATATGGTAAGAGTTAAAACAAACGATTAATAAACTCTACAAATAAATCTCCTATGCTGAGAGAACTTGTCTGACAAAACTCAAGAGAATACCAAGGTGTAGTCTGATATTAAAGTGCCAACAAAAGACTATCACTAGATCATGAGAGTGGACTGAGAATTATAGGGCGACGTAGAGAAGGCTGATGCGTGCTTAAAGGACATGGTTGATATGTTATGAGACAAAACCAAAGAGATGCTTCCTGTTTAGGAACAGATATAGAATCCAAAGGATGTTGTCTGCAAAATAAAACACAGGACACTTTTCAACAACAGAGAATATTAGTCTTATTGAACAACATGCTTTTAGAAACACATACTCTGAAACTGGCACAAATCTCTTCAGACCTTAAAAGATGTTAGTGACGGACATAGATATTGTATTAAAATGTACTTGCTTTATTTAGGAATTGGGAATTACTTTATTAAACTTTAATTTCTATTTTTGGTTCAATTTTACTATAATCGTATCAATGTTCATGATTATTTTGTTTTTTCTGAATGCATTTTGTGCCTACTTTTTCCATTGGCTGTTGGCTTAGACATACTTTTAAAATTTTGCATATCATTGTTTCATTGTAGCATATTCTCATTTCAATATCTGTAAACAGCATGTATTGTCCTCTCAGCCTTTTGACCTAGAAACTCAATCAGCCTCCGCCTTCCACAGTCACCACCACAAATGTGTCAGTCTTAATTTCTAATACGGTTTAATGTCATATTTATGTAAATACTCTATATTAACAGCCAGAAATGTCAAAGCACACATAAAATGAAACAATACCATCTCTGGGTAGAGTGGAATTTAAATTGGATTCCTCTTGCTGCCAGTACTTAGGCTGGACGGCTGATGAAGGGGAAAATGGGGCCCACTTTGATTACGTGTTGCAGAATCTTTACACGATAATGTCGCTGGTGCATATTATTTTTTTGCACATTTGTGGTCTAATCTGCATTGATGGATGCTTCTCTGGTTACCCTTTTCCCAAAGAGATCCTAATATTGTGGTTTATTTCAACGTTGACTCAAAAATATATAACTTTCTGCATTGCTTCAAGTGTCAATTTCACAATATGAATTGGCAATTATGCAGTCCAATATTTGTAGCTGTCCTTCTTGAGACTTTGTTAAATAAACTGGCAGAAATATTGAAAGTTTGTCACTTAGATGGAACATAAATCAACAGATTTTCCCATTTAGCTAAGGAGTGGAGGAAAATGAATTGCAAATGAAGTGTTTTGCTGGCGTGTTGAAATCATTTAGTTTTCACCTTTTCCTTGCTCCCGATGAAGTAAATGTTATTCTTTGAAGTAAAATATAATGTGTTACAGTCTCATCTAGTGAATTGTGCCATCCATGTTTTCTACAATTAACGGATTTAACAATGGAAGAGTGCTGGGACCCATTTTGGCATCTATAATTTAACCCAGGCAATTAGCAGTTACACACATAATTACCAAAAAATTTTAATTCTCGTGCGGTCGTCAAAGCTCTTACTGCTTTCAGCGTGTCACTTTGACTTTGTCTCTTGCGGCCTGTCGATCACTTATTCCCAGATTTACTAAACCGGTGAAATGCAGTCCACACATATGCATCCATGCGTTACAGGTAAATTCAGCATGTGTTACAGGCGCAGTATATTCTCTGTCATGGAGACGTAAATGATGGCTTGACTTATTCCTGTTTTATGCCATCCCAGTTGTTATTGGCTTGAATAAATAATGCTAATAGATTTCACCCTCGGAGGGCCAGTGATCCAGGGTCATGGGGACCACAGGTAGACTGTTGGACCATTACCATACCTGGTATGAAGGTAAGGGTAAGGTTCATCATTCCAGATATTAATAGGATCCTGTTTGTAAGAGGGGTTATGTGACTCACCTCTCGGACAAAAATGACAATGACCAAGGCCTGCGTAGAAGGTAAAGGGATTGATGTGGTTATAAATTACTCCACGGCGCCACCTAGCCTAGGCCTTGCTCACTTTGTCATCAGTACAAGGCGATAAAACAGGGAAATGAGACCAGAGTCCGCTTTTTTAATACATAAATGAATACTCTATGAGAGTGGTCATTATTTAGGGCATGCCATTTTCCAGCAGTTGTACTGAACCAAACGGCATGTAGAATCGTCCTCCGCAGCGCTGCGTGGGCGGTGGGGGGGACTGAAGGGGTTGAAGTGGGTCGTCTTCTTAATAACCCATTGACCTCCATCTATTTATGACCCCTGCCATGCATTTTATTTTTTTCTAAATACGATATTCAAAATGTAAGTAATTTTCACTCAAGGGCAACTTCATAATTCAGCCCTTGGAGGACAGCGAAAAAGGCATTCACCTTTTACCACCAAAAATATTTTAGTAAGCAATTTTTATAATTGGCTGTCCGGCCTAGGTCTTGACCCATAAAGTCTAGAAGTGCCAGAATTGGAGAAATGGATTTAAAGCAAGAGCCTTGCTGCCTCTTTGCCCTTAAAAAATACCCAGAGAATATGAGCCGCTGAAAATAGAGCTGTAAATAACCCCACGAGCAATGGGTTTTCCTTTAAATAAATACCGATCAGGTTTATGTTGAAAGACAATAGAAAACGTAGCCCAGATATGCAGTTTACAGTATTTATAGCTGTAATATCGAGGTGCCAGCACCGTAATTTCATGCCCCAATGAGAATGGCAAGGTCAAAGCAAATGCTTTGGCTGAGCATCTGCTAATACGGTGACTCATAAACAGGCTCTGTGTGTATCAGGTGCACCAAATAATACAGTATAATGAAATACAGAATAGCTTTTCATTATTGTTCCTTTTTTTATGGTGTCGTCATTAGGTATAATTTATGTCCAAAAAAAATTCATCTCCTCACAGGTCGATTTGAAATGGAGGTCCAGGGGTCATTCCACAGGTTTTGGAACCTATAATAAATTTCCCAGTCCCTTTTTGTTTTTTTCATTTTGTATGTTAAACTTATTTTTACCTATTTTCATTGTTTACTGTGAACAACACTGTGTTGGCTGTTTTTCTCCTCTAAATTCAACAACAGGTCTGTTTGACAGATGTCGGTGTTCAGTGGTGAGATTGGACATTGGTTGAAAAAAAAAATAGGGTGGTGGAAATTAAGGCAATAGTCATGTTAATTAATGTTTGAAGATTATTCTGATTAAAATTTTCAACACATTTTAACGCACAGACAAAATTAAAGACACTGAATATCCAATAATTCACAGTCCATTCACTAATGTTGCTGTACACTACATCGCTGATACAGACTATTTACATGCACAGTAGGAGCTGAAAATACCACCTTAGCCAGCAGAGGCTTCAACCTCCGGTCAGTTGTGTCAGAACAGCCACACCAAGCAGTAAATACGTGATTTATCATGGTAAATTTCAGTAGTGATTAATCCACAGCTATCGATTGACATCCCTAAAAATATGCATTAATGTCATTTTTAAAGAACCTCTATATTTTTGTACACTGTTAAACAACCAATAAAGTGGACATTTACGACACTGTGTAACATTCTAAATTAAGATATGCATTTTAATTTGAAGCCAACATCTGTGTTTTTATTTATTTACTCATTGGCTGAACCTGAGATCTGTGCAAGTCTCACTCAATAGTCTGCCACCATATAGTCTGCTGTGGTCAGATGAATCAGGAGTCCAGGGACACATTATTGCTTATTTGACAGTGCAGTCTGACTGCACAAACTCAGCACATGGTGACACCACTTCCTGGCACACACGACCCGTTGTCGACTACAGGCTAGCCAATATTTGACTTTAATTATTTAACAATTTCCATGGCCATTTGAAGTCCCTGGAGCATTTCAATAAGTGACAGCAGGGACCGTCCCCTGGCATAAGGTATATGGTAGGGTATCATAAAAGTAGGCTGCTTTTAGGCTTTAGGACCATAGTGCTGGTCAGAAACAGATTTGGTTTCATGCACACACTTAAGATCTATCTTTTGTCTTAATGTCTTTGAAAACAGATGAAGCCTGTCCTTGGCTTGTGCAAATGATTTGAATCATAAGGGAATGGTTCAAGCAAAGGTGAAACCTCAGTAATCAGTAACAGAATGTGCCTTATAAAAATATTGAGAAATATTCGTCCATAATGAGCCGAATGCACAAACCAGATTTGATTAGTTTCCAGACAACCTTAATTGGTTAATGTTGTATGTTATTGTGGTTCATTAAAATTATTAATATTTCTCTTTTGTTTGGACTAAGATCCTCATTAAAAGACGATACCCACAGAAATGGCAGCACATGGCGCCTGAAATAAAATCCTTTCTTGCCACAAAAGGAGATGTTCATATTAGATTTTTTCTTCTTCTCCTCCCCTGATGCTCCATCGGGGAGCCCTTTGCAATTTAATCATCACTAAAATCATTAAAAAGATCTGAAGATTAAATTATATTGGCATTTGCAAAATTATGTAATACATTTACATTACAATGAAGAAATTAAAATAATGCATTTTCACTGTCTTGGGTGTATGAAATCTCCACTTGGGAAATATAACTGGAGAAATGGACAGACTCTTATTTTCTTTGCCTTTGGTGGCAGTTAATAGGCTCACAGAGTTTCAGATTTCATTGTGTGAACCTCTCCGCACTAGCTTTCTTTGATGGATGTCTGAAACAGAAACTCTCAATGGAGATTCCCACTGAGAATCCTTAAATAAAGTATAATTCTTTAAAAGAGGGCAGGTAAAAATTCAATGGAGGTTTGAGTTACTCTCTCTCAAGTGTACTTAAAAGATTTGTGACAAGCTTGGGAAGAATTTAAGTTTATAATATGATAGGCCTAGAGTAATTTTGAGTAATCCATCAACCTTCGCCTCACGTTTTGATTGCAGGGCTGACAGATGAAGAGATAGAGTTGGCCATTCAGCGCTCTGGAAGCACAGAAGAAGTTCTGCCTCTAATCCCTGCTGAGCCTCCACATCCCCTTCAGGCAACCCAGTTGGCTCCTGTAGCCCACAGTAAGTGTCTGTATGTGGTCGATATACATGTATAAAATTAACACATTTGTTGTAATAATTTAAACATTGACAAAATGACATGCACTTTATAACCATTAATTCCACCATTCATCCACTCATTAATGCGCTAATATACCATTGTTACGCAAACTTATGTTATTTAAGCACACTGTGGGGGGAAAAAAATACTTTTCACGAAAGCACAACAACTTGAATGAGAAATATGGCTTTACCAAAGTTTTGAAAGCAACTATATATATATATCATATTTAGGAATGAAGGTTTATCCCGATGAACCATAAATGGTCATGACTAATTCACATGTACCCTATGACACCCCTTAAATATATTCTGGATCAAAATATCAACAAGAAGGTCCTTGAATAATGTTGGGTTTAAAACATACTACTTTGTTGCATTCTTACTGTCAGAATTATCTAAAATAAAAACGCTCAAAAGCATTACCCACTTTTTTACCATATATACGTATTATGCACATTTTAAACAAGTAGTACAAACTTGTGTTCAACTCAGCATTTGCCATTAGATCGGACACTGGAAAGTCTGTGCATAGTCTCCAAGGGTCTCCACTGGGGCAAGACCCCACACCTCAACCTGTATCTTTATTACCTCAGGAGGTTATGTGTGCTGTCCACTGATTTACCAATGCAGAATGAAGTCCGCATAATGCTTAACCCATATGACAATGATTCCAGATGTATTCCACCCTCATTTATTACCACACTGTCCTTGACTCCCCCAGCATCTCATGTTTTGTAATGAAAGTGATGTTGATGGGATGGCCATGTAGTTAGGGAGACTAGTGGCTCTCCGTCCATAGTGGGGGTTTTATATCAAAACGGCTATAAGGGAGCTGCATAATGAGGTGAGAGCGGGGAGTCTTGTATGGGGGGGTCATGCCGAAAAGAGGGGGCTACCTCCCTTTGATGTCCTTGTTATGGGGACGGTGCACGGGGACCCGCATCCATCTCTGTCGAAGTAATGGATACTCTGATCTCTATTTCCACGCGGCAGAAGGACAGGAAGGCCTCCACTGAACCCAATAAATTTGAGAGGAGATTGGAAAAACGGGGGATGGAGACCACAGTTCCACAGCTTAAGTGACCAAATAAAAAAAGGAAGATGGCAGAGTGGAAGTGGCAGCAGAAAAGGACGAGACAGGGAAAAATGAAGTGTCCGAAAGGAGGGGAAGAGCAAGTGAAGACCCCTGGTGATAGGCAGTGAGCCTTGTTCAGGGTCAACCTTCTGTCCCAAGGTCTATGTGGCCCTTTAGAAGCACAGCATTCTGGGATAGCTGACAGTATATGGCGGCTATAATGTTGATGAAGACCCAAATTTATGTGGTTACCATATGGATGTTGGAGAATAATTCAAACTTTTCGATAGGAAAGGTTACACTTTCAACCCTGAATGATGCAGCAGCAGTTGACGGCACCCTTAAAAGAAGCTCTGCCCTAAAACTGCATTGTCCTAAATGTAACAAACATTTCTCCATATATCAACTCTAGTGTTAGTAGTCTGGGTCACAGCTGCTGTCCGTAACACATACGTAAAACATAATGTCAAAGCTGTGAGAAGATATTGGTCTTATACTTTATTAAATAGTTATTTCCTATTTACCTGAATCCCACCACAGTGAATTAAAGATTCTCATGTGTTTCCTCCAAGCCTGTTTGTTGTTTACTGACATTTTCAGTTGAATGCTTCTCTTATGTGGGGGAATTTCCACCTTGACAGACAGTTAGTCTACCCAGATGACAGCTTGCACAATGACACACTTTCACATTATATGTCACTCAGCAAGACAGTCAACTTCTAAACACACAAATACACACACAAATACACACACCCGTGCTTACCTTAGCTTTGTGTTTATAAAAGGTTTTATATATGCACTGTTGGGCCCCACCCGGAAATATGTGGAGGACGTGTCCTTTATGCTTCAGTAGTGCAGAGGTCGATTGGCAGACCGACTCTTAAGTATGTGAGACGCTCACAAACAACACTTCAGTTATGTTTACATCATAAAATGTAACAAATAAAAAGAGATTGTTTCTTTGGCAGTTCTTTTTAACTTGTATTTAACAGGTAACAGGACAACATAAGTATTTTAGTGCATACAGTACGTGGATACGTGATTAATGCAGAGGCTTACATAATAAATTGTAATGACACCAGGGGTGTAGTGTATGCAGTATGTTCAGTGTAAATATATATATTTGACGTTTTCAATGTAGGTAAATCACTTTATTCTGATCATTTTTAAACACTGCAGCTCAAGTCTCTTCTGCAGCAAGAACAGGAGAAAATTCCACATCCTACCATAGTAGTGTTACTATCCCACAATTCCCATGTGTTTTATTGAAACCAAACACGATGAAATGCAGTGGGAAACTGAAAGTGAAATCAAACAGTTCTTGTTCACTTCTTTCTTGTTTATACAGATATGAATGTTCAGTGAATATAGAAAGTGCACAATGTTTTCTGGAAATGTCATTGGTGTAACAGGAAGCTGATGCTGAACATTGAAGAAGTTATTTCAACTGTCCTGAAAAATAATTACAAAAGAGTGTGCTTTTTTTTTCTTATTCCGTTTTAATTAGACTGTATACACAGGCAGTACAAAAACAATTTCAATATTTCTCAAATTGAATCACTACTTTAAATATTGTTTTCTCCAGGTCCAACAGGCTACAGATGGAGAGACTACGGTGCCCTGACCATCATCATGGTGGGCATTGCTTTTGGCAGTCATCAGCTTTACAAGGTAAGATTCCCCTCCTCCTCCCCTCCCTTTAACCAGTGCTCTCACTTTGTCTTAATGGTGTGTTTAATATTTTTAAATTAAAATTGTCATCCAGAAATGTGTCAAATTTCTTTCCCCTTTATATATATATTGCGACAAAAGAAGGCGTCTTCCATGTGTATACCATCACTCTGATCTTGTTATTAAAGCTACCCTGCTTTATGTCAAAGAATGATCTCATTTCGAGGCCTTCATTTTTACTTTCCCGTCCGTCCTTCCCTTAGAGACACAGTTTTTTCCTCCAAAATATATAGTTGCTAACACAGCACACAACGTTTTCTTTTTTTTTTTTTTTTTTTGTCCTACCGGCTAAAAATAATCACCTTGGTTTTTATCGGGCTTAGCAGCCCTTGAACATGAGCTCATGAGGCCCCTTGTCCCCGGTGACATTAATCCCATAGTGGTTGTTAGTAGTCGTCTGAGTGGCATGTGGAAGCCATTACTCTCGTTTTAGAGGAGGACAGGAGCTCCAGCAGTAGCTCTTGGCCTAGATGACAGGCCATTCTCCTCTGTGTCTTTAAGGGAGAGGGAGAGAACACGCATCATGTACATGCATATGCCCACCTGACCCTGTCAGACAGCCCGGCTTCTCTTCGGAAGCTGTTATGTCCTATTATTTGAGCCTTTTATTAGGCTGGGACTGCAGTGTCAGGATCTGCTGTTTTGTCTTCTTCCATCCCTGTGGTCCTTCACTGATGAAAACACTCCCTGTACCAGTCCACCGTTGATCCTACATGCAGCAGGCTTCGCCAGCCGCTGGTCACCTGGGAGGTGGGATTCCCTGGCGGGACGGCACAGGTTGCTGTCATGTCACTGGAGCATGGTGCCAGTCGCACCATATGTCCGAGCTTCTGGCCTTACTTTATTTACGTTATTGTGCACCTTGTAAACATTACACTCCCAGCAACCCACTTATTAATTACCACGTGTTGACACCCATTTAATCTTTTTCTCTAAAAAGTGTTTATTACTTGCGCTGGTGTCTGCTTACCACCTGTGCTGAAGAGAAAAACTCTGCTCAGGCAGCAGCGAGCTGCGGCCGGCTGTGAGTAATTATGTGAACCTGATTCAGACTAGGAACCAGCAAAATAGACTTTTGAATGCCGTTCAGTGGGGACGAGGTTACTATGACATGATTGTATTTGGTGAGCTTGGCTCCCAGCACGTACACACACACATGCATACAAGCTGATCATCTGGGTGACATTCACTTTGGATGACAAACACTGTCATTTGGCTGTCAGACAAACATATGATTTGGTGAAGTTCTGTTTATTCAGTGGCAGAGAGAAGACAAACAAGATGACTTTTTGGTGTGGAAGACGGCTCTTAAAGTTAACCACTTTATAGGTCTGTCTGCTTTTGGTTCATTTCTTAAAGATTTGAGATTCAAGAGTTCATTTGTCACAGTACCAGTTATACATGTGTTACTACAGTCAAAACCCAGAGTCGCTGCATAGACTGTGCTTATTCAACACAGTCATCATTGAAGAATATAAATACACAACATGATGTCTAATATTTTATGTATAAACGAGTGAGTGTGTCTATGTATAAATATATATGTATATGTATATATACAGATGTCTGCCCACCGAACAAATTATAAACTAACTCTTGCAGTGTACATTTTTGTTTTCTCTTGTATTTGTGTCAGGTGCTCAGACACGTCATAAACAAGTAGTTAATTACACTGTTTATACATTAAACATTTCCCTTTTGACCCTTTGCAGTCATTTCTTGCTCGCTGTGGCTTTTCCTGGTCTTTCTGCTCTCTGCCTCCCAAACAGAAGTGTAATTTTGTGCCATGCTTTTAATTGCAGAAATACATCCTTCCCCTCATTATGGGCAGGCGAGAGGACAAGAAGCATCTGCAGAGGATGGAGAGCAACATTGCGGCAATGAGTGGCACGCTGACACAGACAGGTGAAGATTAATATCTTCATCACTTTCTCCCTCCTTAACATTTTCCCTCATTTATCTGTCTCCAAAATCGGGGGGCCCTGCACGTTTTTAACAAATGACGCCGCTGTCATTTCGCTTTAATTTGAAATTGCTTGTTTACTGTCAGGCTCGGGCTCAATTAATTACGTTTCGCTGAAAAGCTCTTAACCTCAGAATATTAATGAGGAGTTGGGAAATGACAACTTTTCTTCCCTCCA